TTTGAAGAGGCCCTTTTACCCACCCCTGGTGTGGAAGCTTCTGTTTTGACTTTGTCTATACTTCTAACAGTCATGGCAGCACTTTAAAGTGAAAATATGGCCATGGAATGAGCACTCTGAGCCTGTTTACACTGGTGCTCTGTAGTGCTGTAAATTGCTGCATTCAGGAGAGTGTTTTTTCTCACCTCTGAGGCAGAAAGTTGAAGCACAATGGAGTGGTAGTGTGGAGTTATCCTTTATCTGAGATGTGTTCAGTTGGAAAAGAAGCACAATATAATCTCATTGTTTCATCATGTACCAATACAATACCTCTTGTATGTTCTGTATCAGTGGTTCTCAAACTGGAGTTTGTGGACCACTAGTGATCTGCAAGTGGGTCACAGCTTGAGCTCAGTCCCCCTTTCTCCCTCTGCAGTGGGGAGTTTGCGCTGGTGCTTCAGCCTTACCCCCACTCCCCCAGAAGGTTAAAGTGCCAGTGCCAGCTTTCTACTGCAGGTAGGGTGTCCAGATGGTTGAAACAAAAATACCGAACACCCCCCTCCCCAAAAACCAGGAAAAATTCTATTGACGGGAAAGAAAAGGGGGGAGGGGGAGACCAAAGTTTTTGAGCAGAAAAAAGGGTGGGGGGACTCCAAGGACTTAAGCCAAAAAAAATTAAAATAAAACATCATGTCCTCTTTAAGAGTGAGTGCAGGAATAGGAACAGGGGAGTGGTTGAGCACTAAGACCCAGAGGAAAGCATTGCTTCCCCTAGGTCTTTTGACCAGCAACCATTTTGTGCCGGCAGCCTTGGGGAAACCAGGTAAGCATGAGGACTGGGGTCGGGGGGCTGGGAGTTTTGGGAGCTGGGGGCAGAGGTTGGGGGGGAAGGGAGGCCGGGCACTGAGTGTGTGTAGGGTTGCCAGGTACCCAGCATTTTCGCCCCCTGGCCGGGGAAAAATTCAGAAAATACAAGACATCCTGCATCCTTATCCCTACCCCTCTAGCTGGCAGCCCTGTCCTGCACCTTCATTTTGGCCTCACCCCAGAGCCTAGCAGGGTCCACAAAATCCACTAATTCCAGAACCCAGAAGAGTTAATCTGGCCAATGGGAAGTCCTGAACCTCAGTCCTTCCTGTCCTTCCCTGCCCCCCCATGGAGCTGGAATGTCAGTGGATGAGTTGTCTCAGTTGAGGGTCACATCCATGAGGGTAGGGGGGTTTAAAGGTTCTTTATTTTCTTCTTACTTGTGCGATTCCCCTACTGATTTTTCTGTAGGTCAGTAGTCCCCGATCCAAAAAAGGTTTCCCACTCCTGCCATAATGACAATGTTGTAACCTTTTGTGTTGAACATAAAATTACTATTTAACTTTATTTAAAATTAAGTTTGGTAAACTAATATGAGAAATTTAAAGCGCTTAATCTGTTTAATTTCTGTTAATATTTTCTTTCTTACTAGTTAGATTAAACTGTTCCACCTACGTGCAGCAGTAGCAAAATGGCTCAAGTGTAATTATTTAATTAATGGCAAGTTTCCATTTGTAGCTGGTGGTCCATGGAAAGGTTTGCATTGAGCTGGATGGGCCATGGGCCAAAAAGTTTGAGAACCACTGCTCTGTATTGTCTCCAGTGATGGTTTAGTGTATTCTGTGTACCTGATTTTTTTTTATCTAAGAAATTCTAGCAAGTAGGTTAAAAATTTGACTAAAGATGTATCAACTAATAGACTATCTGATAAGCATGCTTATCAGATAGTCAACTCGACTAGTTGTTCTCCCTCCCCCCCCTTGCTGCCTCTATCAGCCAGTTCCCTCCCAGCACTGTCTCTATGGGGAGAAGGAGCAGAGGCGCAGCAGGGAACTGGCAGTGCTTCTGCCTTTGAAATGTAGCAAGAACAGGGAGCCCGGGGCCAGCAGGGGAATACTTGAGTCCCGCTCCTCATGGTGCTTCAACCTTTAGAAATGTAGCAAGAACGCCCTTATTGACTAATAGAATAGTTGATGCAAATTACTTTGACTATTCAATTAGTTGATTAATCTAAATTTAATATCCTTAAATTCATCTTTTACTGTTGATGATTCTGGAAAATCAAGCTAGGATGCTGTAGCCATTGTGGTTGGATTAATTTTAAGGGGCATTCTGCAGAATAATACAGGCAGTCCCCGGGTTACGTACAAGATAGGGACTGTAGGTTTGTTCTTAAGTTGAATCTGTATGTAAGTCGGAACTGGCCAGTTCTGACTTACATACAGAATCAACTTAAGAACCCCAGGCGTCCCCAAGTCAGCTGCTGCTGAAACTGATCAGCAGCTGATTCCAGGAAGCCCGGGGCAGAGCAACTCTGCCTGGGGCTTCCTGTAGTCAGCGCTGGTCAGTTTCAGCAGAAGCTGACTTGGGGACGCCTGGGGCAGAGCAGCTGGGGTGCTACTGGACCAACCCAGCAGCACCCCATCTGCTCTGCCCCAGACGTCCTGATTCAGCCGCTGCTGAAACTGACCAGCAGCGGCTGAATCAGGACCTGGGGCAGAGCAGCTGGGGTGCTGCCGGGTTGGTCCAGTAGT